GAAGGAATAAAAAATACACACAGTTTAAGGAGGAAAAGAGCACCAGGAAGTTTAATGTTGGAGCCAAGCCTTGCTTGTCCTGAAAGAGATTAGGAAAGGATTGCATTGAAATTGTAAGAAGGCAGTGGTGTCCTCAGGGCAAGACTCCAGCCAGCTAATCCTTTACCTTGTGAAAGGAAAAGGCCTGAGGGATTTTCTGTTTAAAAAAAAAAAAAAAGCAACAATGTTTCTGCAAATGTATTTCGAAAAGGAGGCAGACTCCATTCCAAGCAGGCAGCCAATCTTGGCAGTACTGAGCACACGGTTCTGGATTTAAAGTCACGAAAGACACACGAGTGATAGAGTTATGGAATCTAAGGAGGGCTGGTGTAGCAGGCAAGTCTCCGCATGGAGGTCCTGAGATGCCAACCCGTGAAGCTGTGAAAGTAAAATCTGGATTGCCCTGGAGACCCCAGAATGCCATAGGTGCCGAAGTCATAGTCTCCCAGCCAGGGAGAGCTGCACACAGGGAGTAGAAACAGCACAAGAGAGAGGGAAAAGTGTACTGCAGTCAACACAGCTGGAAGGACAGAGCCAAAACCCTCTGACAACTGACATGGAGTGATGGGATTCATGGGGATTACTCTGCTGGTTTTCAGTCTTACTTTGGTCCATTATTTCTTCACTATGCCCCCATTTCTCCTTTTTAGAATGGTAATGTATATTCTGTGTGATTTTATTTTGGAAGTATGTAACTTGATTTTACAGGAGGTTACAATTAAGAGATTATCTTGAATCTCAGAAAAGTTTTGGACTTTGAGTTTTTAAACTGTGTTGAGACTGTGAAAGACTATGGGGACATTTGAAGTAGGACTGAATGCATTTTGGATTATGATATGGCTACAGGCCTGTGTAGATCAGGGGTGGAATGTGGTGGCTTGAATGAGAATGTCCTCCACAGGTTCAGATATTTGAATACTTGGTTCCCCATTGGTGGAACTGTATGGGGAGGATTAGGAGGTGTGGACTTGTTTAGAGGTAGCATTGGCAGCAGGCTTGGACTATGGCCTTTCCCAGGATCTCTCTCCCTACCTTGTGCTCATGACTCTAGATATAAGCTCTCAGCTACTGCCCCAGCTCCATGTCTGTGCGCTTAGGGCCATGCTTCCCAGCATAAGTCATGGACTCTAATCCTCTGAAACTGCAGATTCCCAATAAACCCTCACTTCTCTAAGTGGCTTTGGTCATGGTGTCTTATCCCAGCAATAGAAAAGTTACTATGATAGCCTATTTAAAACTAAGATAGCTTATTTAAATAGATAATGGGAGGGGATGACCTAGGGCTGTATCCTGCTTGAGACCCTCCATGTTTCCCTCTTTGCTTCCCAGCTGCTTTATCTGCCAGCAGCCCCCACCCCCTCATTTCAATACAGCAAATGACTTAGAAATGAAACTTCTGAGACTATGAGCCAACATAAATGAATAGTCTTTAAATTGTTTCTTTTTCAGTGACAAAAACAGTGGATACAGTTGCCTTAAAATTCCTGATAATTCCAATAGTATCTAAAATTGAGGTAGGAAGGCTCCCGGCCAGCCTGTGAGGGACTATCTTGATTAGATGCTTTGAGATGTGAAGACCTAGCCGCTGTGGGTGGTATCATTCCCTGGGCTCGGATCTTGGACTGTGTAGAAAGAGTCACCCATAAGCATTCATGACTCTCTGCTTCCTAACTGTGGATGCAAAGCAATCACTTTGCCTCAGGCTACCACCAGCTTGACTTCTGCACCAAGATGAGATTACACCTTTGAACTGAGGTGTAAAACTAGACATTTTCTCCTTTTAGTTGTGTCTGTCAGAGAATTTTATTATGGTGATAGGAAAAGTTACTCAGCTTTTCACTAGTCACGTTTTAGGGAGCTTTTATTTTCTGATTACTCAGAAGGCACATAGTGAAGGCAAAATCACCAAGCTGATTTTATTTCATAAAACTGAGTAAGTAAAGCTATATCAAACTCCGTTGCGGACTGAACTCACAGTTTCTATTTTCGTAGTGAGACATGGTTGGAAACTAGTCTAATGCAAAATAGGTGTTTTCAACTGTTGCGGGGACGAGGACTAAAAGTTATGTACTTTGACACCTGCGAGTTCCTGTTGATGGGTGAGACATGCCATCCGTCCCTCAGAGGTCCTGCCACCTTTGCTTCCTTGAGGACATCTCAGCTGGGCAGTCTCACGTTATGGGCATCCTCCTCTCTTGTTCCACACCTAACCAGGCTGCCTTGGGCCTTCCTTCCTCTGTTGTAGTGCTGGAAGACGTCATCAAATTGTCTGTACACGAGCCAGATTGCTCCTGCAACCGTGCAATCGCTGACAGGCGTCCCTTCCAGCAAGGGACGCGCAGGGCGGCTATTCAGAGCCACCTGTTGAACACAGAGCGCGCCCTCTTCGCTCGGGTCCCTCCCACGGGCTCGGGCGGAACGAAACCGGAGGATCTTTGACAAGTTGGTGGAGGCGGGGCCTGG